GATCGCTATAGTATTGGAGCACTTTCCTAACGCAAAAGGGTGTCATGAGGATAAATTCATTAATACTAGGGAGGTACTTTCCCCATTTTACTGATGGGGAAATAGGGCACACAGAAATTAAGTAACCTGGCCACATCTTGCAGGAAACCCATAGCCGAGATGGTAATACAATGCAGATCCCAGAGTCCCTGTGCAGCATCAAGACTATCCTTCCTCTCCGACAGCAGCTTCTCTCCAGTCCCCAGTGGACAATCTCAGAATGAGATCATCAGCCGGGAGTGGTATATGAGTCCATTAAGGATTCCCTGCTGCTCTGAGCCAGAATGAACATACCCCTCCCCCACTTGCAGGGACCTTGTGGAGGCACCATGAATACAAACTGTCTCCCTAATATTGACTAGAGGCCTGCTGGGATGGAATCACTGACTTTGTTGGGCAGCAGCAGGAAGAAGCTGGGTTTCTCCCTGCCCCCCACCTTATCTCCACTCACTCTCAGGAGATGCATACAGCCTCCATGGTACACAGCCAGACTGGCTGCTCAGCTCCAGCCAAGTTACACATGGCAAATGCATCAGGGCCCAGATTTATCCAAAGGGAGTCTCAGTTATTGGATTGTAAGAGCCCAATAGTTTTGTGCAGAAATTGTTTTATTTAATAATTAATGCTGTTTCTAAAGGGTGAATTATGCTTCCAAATAGCTAACTAGGGCAAATCTATTAATAAAACATGCAATGACTGGATGCAAATATACACAGTGAAACTAGAAGAGAAATTTGTTGAAAGCCACATTAGATATCAAAGGAAAAAAACCTAAATTATTCTTGTTTTAGACAAATTTGCCATTTTGGAATATTTGCAGAGAGTCATGGAAAAATATAAGTCACTCTTTTCTCCACGAACACAGCAAGCATTCTTGATAAGGGGTTCCAAGTTTTATAAACATCAGAAAGCCTTAGGGGTATTACTCTGTAAATTACCATAAAGCAAGCTATAGCATAAGGCTAACTCCACAGCAGTACCTCTGACTAAAGCAGGTTAGGACACCAAATTGAAAAAAGTCACCTGTTCCTGAAAATTTGGTACCTATTACAGTTACACACATCACCTAAAATTCCTATTAGAGTGAAGTCATATTTCTCTATTTCCTCCCCCCCCACCCAGTTTATTCTGCATATTTGACTGTATGTGGTGTATAGTCATTTTCACTTTCTCTCTCATTTCTCTCTTGCTGGAAGAGTCCCTTAAACAGTCAGAGGAGCCGCAAAATCCTCATATGTTTTTAAAAGGAATTTATACTATTTACTACATACTATTTAGAGGGCATCAGCAACTGGAGTTATTTGAAACTGATGAATTTCAAACAAAAGAAGATTGATCGTTTCCCCTTTAAGGGCGCCTGTATTTTCTTTGAAAAGACCAGACAGCAACTATACTCATTGGTTTCCTCCTGCTTGCAGCACAGCTGTTGTATCAGCCTCCTGAAGTAATAGATACTCCTTGAAGTTAAAAGAGACTGTCAGAAAATAATATATTTTGAGGGAGTACACTTTAGGGCTGTGCTTATCATGGACATTTCTTTAACATTAATGCAAAGGAACTAATAGAAATAGGTCTATAAAATTTAATTACTTTTTTTTCCCCTTAGGAACAGATGAGTAGTCTTATGCTCTAAGATTATGGGTTCTATTCTTGGCTCTGCTACAGTCTTCCTTTGTGACCTTGGACAAATCACTCGCCTAGAAACTGATTTTCAGAGGTACTGACCACCACAATTCCAATTTAAGTCAACAGCAGTTGTGGGAGCTCTGCACCTCTGAAAATTGGGTCCTTAAGTTCTGTACTTTCATATCCTCATCTTTAAGAGATGAGGAGATCTCATAGCTTGCAATAGGCTTTAAAGTTCTTGTAGCGTGTATTTCCCCTCTAACTCAATGCCAGATTTTTCACGTCCCTGATCCCTGAAGTGCCTGCCCCCAGCCATTTTTGCATCTCCATCCTAGAAACAACATGGCTTGGCCACAACTGCTGAAGCTCAACCTAAAACTAAACTTACTGGCTTTGATTAGGTTAGCACAATTGGACAAAAGTTCTCAGCACGTGCATGGATGCTGTACTCTATTCTTGTGAGAAGGTAGGTTAATGACACACAAAAAAATTCTTTCTACGAGAGGTTTTCCTAGATGAAGACAGTTTGAAAAGATTAGATTATATTCAATTAAACTTGGGCCTGTCAGCCATGATAGTGTCCATTTAGCAAGAGAGGTGGTGCAAAAAGTCTACAGAAACTATGACACTTAATGCAGAAACAGCATTTCAGTTTCATGGGCATGTCTAAACCGCAATAAAATACTTGCAGCTGGCCCACGTCAGCTGACTCAGGCTCGCAGGGCTCGGGCTGCGGGGCTATAAAATTGCAGTGTAGATGTTTGGGCTTGGGCAGGAGCCTGGGTTCTGGGACCCTCCACCGTCACATGACCTCAGGGCTCGGGCGCCAGCCTGAGCCTGAATGTCTACATTGCAATTTTCTAGCCCCACAGCCCAAGCTCTGCGAGCCTCAGCCAGCTAACACAGGCCAGTCGTGGGTGTTTTATCGCAGTGTAGACATACCCATCGCAGCTGTGACACATGAAGGGGGGTGAGTGGGGAGTAGCTCCCTTTGATGGACACCCAGCCAGCCAGTTAGCTGTAAAATCCTTCTTGGTCTGTTCTCTGCTTGTTAACCTTTTACAGGTAAAGCAAGCAGATTACAGACCACGTGGGATTTTACAGCTAAATGGCTGTCCATCAAAGGGGGCTCCCCCCCCCCCCGGCCCCATGTATCACAGTAGCTGTCCTCACCATGCTACTCTAATAATGGACATTCCATCACCCTCTCTAATGCTAAGTTACAATGAAAGGCAGCTCTAAAACAATTCAAATTGTATTCATGGTTTTTACTGCCCTTCTTCCAGACTAACAAGAGCCATCTTATTGCCCACCTTTTATGAAACAGAACATATTAGGCTTCCTTTAATGACACTTGTTGGTGTACTTTTAAGGTACTCATAAGGTAATGATTTGAGGGAGGGTTGGTTGGTTGATGAGTAATGAGTTGTAAAATTGTACTAGAGAGCAACACAGGCTGATGAAGTTTCTAACTATCAGATATCTCTTATCATATCACATGCCAGAGTAAGGATAGACTGCAGGGTTCCAGACATCACCATTCACTGGGAGTCTCATCAGTGTAGCCCAAGAGCCTTCTTGTATCTTTATCGCAGACACTCCATTTAAATATTAAAACTTAGCTAACACATCTCTCCCCGCTTGCATACTGTATGCCTCTTAATTATTGAGGAAGAGAAATTCTGCGTAACTGCATTATTTAACCGATTTGGGGTATAATTTACATGAAAGATGCTAAATTAAAAAAAATTGTGTTTTCTACATGCTTTTTGGACACAAGACGATCAATCTGTAAGCATCTAGAGGATAATAAAGTTATAAGGTATTGCCAGCATGGATTTGTCAACAAATCATGCCAAAACAACCTAATTTCCTTCTTTGTCATGGTTACTGGCGTAGTGGAGCGAGGGAAGCAGTGGATCTTAATTTCAGTAAGGGGTTTGACACAGTCCTCCATGACATTCTCATAAGCAAACCAGGGAAATGTGGTCTAAATGAAATTATTAAAAGGTGGGCGCACAAGTGGTTGAAAGACTGTGCTCAGAGTAGTTATCAATGGTTTGCTGTTAGACTGGAAAGGGGTATCTACTGGAGTCCCATAGGGGTCAGTCCTGGGTCAAATATTACTCAAAACTTTTATTAATAACTTGAGAGTATGTTTATAAAATATGCAGATGACACTAAGCTGGGAGGGGTTGTAAGCACTTACAAGTACAGGACTAGACGTCAAAATGACCTTGACAAATTGGAGAATTGGTTTGAAATCCACAGGATAAAATTCAATAAAGACGAGTGCAAAGCACTAGACTTAGGAAGGAAAAATTAAAAACACAACCACAAAATGGGGAATACACTGAGTAGGGTGTAGTACTGCTGAAAAGGATATTGGGGTTATTGTGGATCACAGATTGAATATGAGTCAATGTGATGCAGTTGGAAACAAGGCTAATATTCTGGAGAGTATTCATAGGAGTAACATATGTAAGACACAGGAGAGAATTGTCCCACTCTACTCTGTGCTGGTGAAGCCTCAGCTAGAGTAGTGTCCCCAACTCTGGGTGCCACACTTTAGGAAAGATGTGGACAAATTGGTGAGAGTTCAGAGAACAACAAAACTGATAAAAGGTTTAGAAAACCTGACCTGTGAGAAAAAACTGGGCATGTTTAATTTTGAGAAAAAGAGACTCAGGTGGGACCTGATAACAGTCCTCAAATATGTTGAGGACTGTTATAAAGAGGACCATGGTCAGTTGTTCTCCATGTCCCCTGAAGGTAGGGCAAGAAGTAATGGGCTTAATCTGAAGCAAGGGAGAGTTAGAAAAAAAATTCCAAATATCTAACCTAATCTAATCTAACTATTATAGGGGTAGTTAAGCTTTGGAATAGGCTTCCAAGGGAGGTTGTGGAATCCCCATCATTGGAGGTTTTTAAGAACTGGTTAGAGGAACACCTATCAGGGATGGTCCAGATTTACTTGGTCCTGCCTCAGCACATGGGCTGTACTTGATTTCTTGAAATCTCTTCCAGTGCTACATTTCTAAGAAGGGTAATGGAGTTAACAGAAATACATCCAAATATCCAACTATATCTAATAATGTAGTTCTTAATATAAAATTAATTGCTTTGCAAACATGTAATAGTTTAAAACAATACAAAATGTGAAGTGCAATACAAAAAACAAGTACTAGAACTGATTAAAACTGATTAAGCAGCTGTTTTTATATACACACAAATTGTTTATTGCAGTTTCCATGTGGGAGTTACATTTTCACAACTTCAATCAACTGCTATAAACATTAAAAATAGAAAAATTAATTTAAGCTAAATGAACTTACCAGCGTTCTATATGAAGAGCTGAGAAAGTCCGTGAGGCCGCTTCTCTGGTGAACAGTTTAAACCCACATTGTGTGTCCCTGATTTCCTTGACACAGAGGAACCATACTAGGAAGTGGAACCCATACATGAGAAGAGTTCGGAAGTAAGAGCGCTGTGAACAAAAGACAAGAAATTAGATGTTTTCATTTATATGACAAAAGGAACATCTGAATTGATCTGAACAGAGGACGAGAATTCCACTTCATGACAATTTTGAAGTTAGAAATGTGTGTTTGTTCCGCACGGGAACAAAAGGAGAATTGTGGTGGGGGAAAGGTGTGTCAGACAGTCACACTTAGGATCTCCCCTGGGATTTGGGAGACTCAGCTCAAAGTCCATGCTTTGCCTGATTCAGAACAGTTTTTCATCCCAGATCGTGCCAAATCAGGCAGAGCAAGGACTTGAATCTGGGTGTCCCAAATCCCAGGCCAATACCCTAAACACCCATCTTTAGGGTCTCCCTCCGCCACCCCCAAAACAAACGTTTTGTGGAAACTGATGTCTCTATAAAATGTTTTGGCTTTTATGAAACACCATATTTTGCTGAAATTTCATTTAGGCAAAAATATTTCAGCCAGCTCTAAATTTGAATCATTTTAGCTACACATGTAACTTTATAATAATGGTGTATGTTACAGTACAGAAGGGGATCCTTATTGCAACTATGTATTTTAAAGTTTTGTTTCCATGACTCAAATTTAAACAAATACACATACAGAACTTTGTATAGATCACAGAAGTAGAATTACAGAGACATACTAGGACATAATCATCACAGTATGATTTTTGTTTTGAACAAACAAACACTTTTAAAATTGGTTTTTGGAAGCCTAGATTTTAAAAATTTAAACAAGTTTACCTAAGGTGTAAAAAGATCCCAACCACTATTTAAATATGTAAATTAAAGGTAGCTTTAGGTCAGGCCTTAAAAGAACAACAACCCTCCACCCCCATCCCACCACCACCTAAACAGTATTCTTTTATTTGCTCATTGCTCGATTTCTTTTATTCTATCTCAGTTCTTCTCCCCTATCTCCCGGCAGAAACCTTGTGAGGGAAAGAGGGAGCTGGATGCACTTGAAGGGAGTTCATTTGTATATGATCCCTCGGCAGGTTATCACATGACCACAGAATCAGAGAGCCCCTCCACCCTCTATGTCAGCGGTCCCCAAATTTTTCACATCACCCCCCCCCTTGCCCTGTCCGTGCCCCCAAACCCCCCCCCCCCCAGAGCCGGGGCTGGGAGCGGGGCCTTCGCTCCCGGGGGGTGGGGCGCAGCTAGGGGTAAGGAGGTTGATGCTGGGGCCACAGCTGCAGCCAAGGACTGATGCTGGGGGTCTGGGGCAGGCTGGGAGTGGGGCTGAGGCGGGAGCCAGCAGTTGGGGCCACGGATGGGTGCAGTGCCGCAGCCGGGAACTAGGGCCACGGCTGGAGGCAGGGCAGAGCTAGGGGCAGAGTGGGTCTGGGTGGCATTCTATCCCTGCCCCCGGCCCCACTGTGCCCTTCCCCACGAACATTCTTCCACATCCCCTAGGGGGGTGCGCCCCACAGTTCTACATTCATCAGGCCCAACAATCCCCAGGATTAGTTGGTCTGGTGCAAAGCCAGCATATGTAGGCAGTAATGGTTTTCTGTATCCATTCATGTTGTGAACACAGGGTCCAGGATTTAGTCCCATTACTGAGAGAGCTTCAGGGTTTCTTGTCAACTATGATGCAAACTTTGCCCGTGCGTTGATAGGAGACTAGATCCCTAACACTATTACATAATCCAGAGGGAAAAGCAGTGCTTAATTTGTGCCAGGGCAGAGACCCAGCACCTCTAGGCTTGGCAGTTCATAGCCCTGGCACCTTTGGGCTTGCTGCATGAGTTAGGAATGTAAAAAAAAAATAGCTTGAGCCCCAGCAGCTCTTTCATTACAAATTAAGCACTGGGGAAAAGTAGAAGCTATACCAGGATTTGAACTCCATTCTATCTCCTCTTGGACTTTTGCAGCTATTTCAGTATTTTGTAAACATTTTAGAATAATTTTAAGTATCACACGCTAGTGTAAACATAGCTTGTTGTAGAGAAAATCCAGCATTATGAGTTCGAACGATGTTAGAGAAATTAGTCCAGCAATGTGTTTGTTGCAATATAAGTGCAATGTCTGTGCTATGTCAACTACAGTCTGCCAAAACATCAGTAAAACTGATGTAAGACGAGATTGCGAGCTGATGCAAGTTTGTTGCATAACAGTCACATACTAAGTTGTTCTGTCTAGTGTGTATTCAATACTCTATTCTACTGCCGTTTTCCTGTTCATACTGAAATTCTACTTTCATACGGGTTACCGATATTTCCACAAAACAAACCTTGTAGTCTTCTCTCAAGGATCTTTTCGGAGGCTCTTTGCCTGGAACTCATTCAAGACTAAACACAATGCTCATTTCCTCTGTATGCATACTCCACCAGAAGAAGCAAGATTCACTTGTCATCATTTGTAGTAATTTTGGAAATGTGCAAGCATGAGACCCGTGAGGCAGTCTTGGCCTCTCCAATTTTAATCCGAGAGTCTTCCATGGCATAGCTGTAGCAAGGAGCTTTAGGAAGGCACTTGCATTGCAAGTGATTCTCAATTAAAGGCAGGGAAAGAAATGCAAGTTTTCCAAATTAGCTACGTTTGCTGGAAGTTCTGAATTCCAAATCTACATTTGCTGGGGCAAGTCTGGGTGGCGGGTGAGGTCTTCCCCTTCAAATCATTAACATGAAATTAATTTTCATAATGTTGATTGCAAGAGAACTGTGATACCCTTTCAAACATTTTATTACTACTTACAGCAAAACTTTTACCACTCACTCAGGTCTTAAGAGTTGAAGAGTAACAAATTGTTGGACTGAAAGGAAAGAAATTAAAGTCAAGCTGTCAGTTGCTTCTCCCTGTCCTCCCAGTACTTGAAGAGCCTGTGCATGTGTGTGAAGAGACTGTTCCAGCTGATGAGCTGCAGAGCCATTGTAGAACCACCATTGTAGAGGCTTCCAAAGCATCTGCTTGAATGTACTGTGCCTAAAGCTCTCCACTCAGTGATTATAGTATATGCCCTTTTTGGTTTCATGTTGGACACATTTGTGCACACATGCGGTTGGTTGCGTTTGGGACCAAAGGTCCCATCCTCTGCTGGAGCAACTGATTTAAATCCTTGTTAGCTGACATCTAGCTCACACTTCCTGCTGGTGGTGTTTGAACTCTGGGAACAGAGAGCTTTTAGTCATGTTGGACTATTGCTAGGCTCATGGCAACTGCCTTCCCCACTATCAGCCTCCATTCATTTTGTGTGTCTTGATTTAATTTAAAAACTGGAATGTTAATGAAAAAACAGCAGTTCTAGGAGTCTAGTTCATACGAGGAAAGAGAAACTTACCTGTGCTATTGAGTCCTGTTCCAAATGGGCTCGAGAGCCACAGGCAATAGCCATCTGGTTCTGCAAAGGAACACACACAAGAGAATTGGAAGCTAACTACACCACCACTAGTGTTTTCTGAATCACTGGCTTCTTCTATTAAGGTTTTTATATGAAATCTTAAAGCATCATGATGGCTTAATCTTGTCCACTGAATTTGTCAAAGCAATAGAAATGTCTGCTTTTGGTGAGTTACACAAATCTTATCGTTTGAATGTGTTGATATAATAAAGCCTTTCTACATTTTATGGATTGTCTAAAGCTTATTACATTTTGTATATGAAAAGTTTAGATTGCTGCATGTTATTCGGGTCTCGTTCAGGAGTAAGAATGTCTGAGCTTTTCAGACAGAGAATTTATTTCACAGTGCAGACAACAAAGTATCTAGTTACACTTAATATGTATGGGCATGTTTGCCCTAAGATTTGCAATAGGGAACAGGTAACAGAACAGAAGACTTGATTTTGCTGAGATGGCAATATTTTATTTGTGTAGGAATGTCACATCTCTAAGCCCCAATTAAACTGTAAGAGGCACTTCCAATGGCCTGTATTAAAATTACTCTCACATTACTACTTTTGACATGAAAGAATCATTTCTGGACTTTAGGAAAATTCTGAAGAACTAAGGCCTGCTGCCTTTTCAATAGCACACAGATTTAAAAGGTATGTTAATCAATTAGCGCCATCTAGTGGGGTCAGAACTTTATCTGTTTGACCAAATGGTTATTTTAAACATAATTCAGTGACTGCTTTGTAACAACAACAAGGGGGTACAAATGGGGGAGGAAAAAAAGCTAAGTATAGAAGTTACATATTGCTCCCTCCATTTTGGGGCTAGTTACAGGTTCCACATCGACTTGTCTTTAAGCACCATGTTAACTGAAAATGAGTTTCTTCAAGTCAAGCAGCTCTAAGTGCCACTGTTACCCTATTCAGGAATACACTGTGAGCCGATATGACTTATTTGGTCTTCAGAGAGGACACAATCTGAATGAACGGACATCTGCAAATTAAAAGTTAGCCATCTGCTAACAGGAAATAGACCAATTAGAATAAAATAAAAAGAGTCATTCTCAAAATAACGTGGGAGGAAATTAGGTTAAGCAACATATCAAATTAATAAGGGTAGAGAAAGCAAATTTTTAAATAAGTAGGCAGCACCGTGAACAGTTATACTGGAAAGAAAAAAGGGCTAGCAACGCAAAACACATGGATCCCACAAAAGTTTAAAGACTCAATGAAAGAAATAGCACAAGTGTCAAAATGTGCAAATTAAGGTTCCTGATCCTGCAAAAAAAATATGCACATGCTTAACTTGATGCACTATAAGTAGTCCCACTGTTACCCGGGGTTCTTTCAACCCAAAGCTCTTGGTAACTTTTACTCTGTGCGAGGAGGTGTCAGGAAATAAATCAGAGGAGACACGGCCGTCTGACCGATAGATGGCTGGCACAAACAGGACAACACAAGAGTGCTTTCACTTAAAGCTAAACTTTACTTAGACTCAAGCACTTACACACGTCCGCAACAGGTTAGTAACACACCCCCAACCCTCGATAATTACCAAAGCTGAATGTGGCTCTCGAGTGGCACAGTGACAGCCCGTCTGCCGGTGGGGAACACAAGATGCATCCAGAGGGAGAGACCAGTCCCGAAGAGTCCCCAAATGAGTCCCCTTATTTATACATTAGTAATAGAATGACATGTCCCTTAAAGAAACCTTGTTAAGTAAGCAGTTTCAAGCAAGAGGTTCCTTCTGATTATTGATTAACCAGGTGTGGGTTTTTCCAGAACTTGCAGCCTTGAGACCTCAATAGACATTCCTGGGACATACATGCGTTTTAAAAGAGTAGGCTATCAGCAACTTCAACACAATTCTTATCAGGAAGGATGCGGGGTCAAGCTGCCCTTTCCGTGGCACCCAAAACCCCCTCCCCTCCTGCCTTGGTCAAGCTGCATGGCCATTTTACAGCCTGCTGACTAGGTTGCTTTTTAACAATAAGCCATAGTGGTTTTAGGCACTTTACTGGTTTGCCAAAGTCTCCCCGTACACCACTGATGTCAAGTTAAAGTTAAGCATATCTTAAAGATTCTCAGTATGTATGCAAGAAACTTGTTAATAAAGAGAAATACAACTATGAGTCCATAGACAAACTGCTTCAGCTAAAATGACAGAAGCTTATACTTACTGGCCATGGCTGGAGATTTCTAAGACCCTCTTCTACTTTTTCAATATCTGCAAACTTTGTGGCTCCATCTGCATCAGCCATAAGGATTTTTCCCCCTCGACAGCTGAAGACACCCTGCAGATGAAACAGCAAGTTAAAACCTGCACCAATACAAAAAAATTTTCATCATGATAAACTAGCTTCCAGGCCCCAGGAGTCTAAATTAAGAAAGCAAATCCCTAAAACATTAACCTAAATAGAAATCTAGAAAGGAATTAAACTAAACAAATAGGTGAGCCTGCAATTTCCTATGCTGACATTTTGTTGATAAAAAAACAAGTGTTCGAGGTTATTAATTTGTATTACAGCAGCGCCCAGGTGCCTGAATCACTGATCAGGGCCCCATTGTGTTGGACACTGTACAAATAACAAAATGATAGTCCCTGAATCACAGAGCTTACAATCTAAGTATGTAAGACAAGAGACAAGTGGATACAATAAACAGATGGGGGAAGCAGAAGGAAACAAGGAGGCAGTACTGGTCAGCATGATAAACACTGTCAAAGCACACCAGCTGCCTAATCACTGTACAGTTTTTCCTCGTCACTTGATCCATGTTCCTTGGATAAAGCATGCAGCATTGGGATAGGGTGTGGGATGCTACCTCCTAATACATCTTCAAGAGCCAAATCTCTAAAATGTGTCTGAGAAAGATAAAGTACAACATAACTGCAGTTAGCTTGGGGCAACAACTGCAGCAGACCTGGAGCTTGGCTCCATATATTTTAGGTGCTACATGACACGTGCAGATGCACAAGGGCATTTGTGCTTGTTGACACCATACATGCTTAACTCTGTACAAAGTGTGTTCCAGGCTCTTGAAGATACATCCAGAATATACCCTAACTGTCCTACCCAAGATGTTGTATGCTCTAACTCAGAAACAAACATGGAATCTTCCATTTCAAGTAAAATTAAACAGAGGGTCTAAGTGTTTTTTTTTTTAAATATAAGAGCAGAGATTTCCTGGATTTACTGACCTTCTAATTAATTTCTAAGAGTCTCAAACCAACAGCTATGTACTAAAACCAATTAAAAACACTGCCACAGTTCTATCATCTATGCAAAGTGTAAACCATAATCATCTTTTTTCCTCAATGTTGATGGAAAGTACAATGTTGATGGGGGTATATTCTCTGGTGGTCATGCACCGTTTACACTCTTCCTGCCTGCTACATACAGCAGTACAAACACACCTCACATATGCACTACACAAAGAATAAACTCTCTCTCTTTCTCTCAAGCAAGTGGGCGGAGGCACTAGTGAATGAGAACATTCCATGCACTTCAATATTAAAATATCCCACACAAAGTCATGCTCCTTCACCTGGAAGAATTGAGGGGGGGGGGGAGGAAAACCAAAAAAAAAACAACCAAAGAACTTCTGTGCTTTATCATTCCATGTACTACCTAAATACTATAATCATAGGCACCATGGATTTATATATCATAATGCCTTTATATAAATCCATGGTATGCCCACATCTTGAATATTGCATGCAGATCTGGTCACCCCTTCTCAAATAAGATATATTAGAATTGGAAAAGATACAGAGAAAGGCAACAAAAAGGATTAGGAGTATGGAAACAGCTTCCGTATGAAGTGAGATGAAAAAGACTAGAACTTTTCAGCTTGGAAAACAGATGAGTAAGAGGGGATATGACAGAGGTCTATAAAATCTTGACTGGTGTGGAGCAATGGTTCTCAACCTTTCCAGATTACTGTAACCCTTTCAGGAGCCCCGCCCACCACTTGCCCAGGGCTGAAGCATGTAACTTAGCTTTGTGGGGTCCCCTGTGGCATGGGACCCCAGGCAATTGCTCTGCTTGCCACTCCATAATGCCTGCCCTATACTTGTGATCCCCCCTTCTACCTTCCCCCCCAGTTGAGAAACAGATCTAGATAAGTTGACATACCCCCGGAAGATCTCTGCATACCCCTCCCTGGTTGAAAACCACTGGTGTGAAGAAAGTGAATAAGGAAATGTTGTTTACTCCTTCACATAACACAAGAACTAGGGGTCACCCAATGAAATTAATAGGCAGCAGGTATAAAACAAACAAAAGGAAGTACTTCTGCACACAACACAGTCAACCTGCGGAACTCGTTCCCAGAGGATGTTGTGAAGGCTAAACCTATAACAGGGTTAGAAAAAAAAAAAAAAAAAACTAGCTAAGTTCATGGAGGATAAGTACATCAATGGCTATTAGCCAGGATGGTCAGGGATGCAACCCCATGCTCTGAGTGTCCCTAGCCTCTAACTGCCAGAAGCTGGGAGTTGATGACAGGGGATGGATCTCTCGATGATTGCCTGTTCTGTTCATTGCCTCTGAAGCACCTGGCATTGGCCACTGTTGGAAGACAGGATACTGGGCTAGATGGACCACTGGTCTGAACCAGTATGGCCATTCTTACGTTCACCATATAAAAACCTTAGGACAGACAGACAAGTTATAGATGTAGCTTTAATACGATAATCTTTGAAAGAAATAAATGCATGAAGATTCCAGAAATAATAAATGAAGTGTATTGACAACATGAGAGAAAAGTTTTATTTTTACTCTTTACAGTCACCTATTATCCGAATTCATGGCTCACAACCCAAGACTGATGCAGTCCTTTTAAGTCAAAAAAATAAAGTATCATTCACTCACTCTAAACAATTACATAATAACACACACTAATATATTTTCTCTTGTGAAGAGAAATATCTATGTGTAAGTTAATATATGAAATACACACATTATGCCCCATCAAACTCAAGCCCAGCTGACTTCAGTGGGAATACATTTAAGCAAAACTTTGCTGGACCCGGGCCTTAGTTCTTTATTCAATTTCTAAATATCAAAGCTATAATCTGGAGAGGAATATCTATATTTACTTATCTTATTACCGGAGCTTGATTTTCATCTTATAAAGGGTTTTTTGTTTTTGTTTTTTGGCACTGAAGAGCTAGTTCTAAATTAACTAATGGATATAGTTTGGCTTTAATTGAAATTCTCATATGAAAAAAAATTCTTCAATGTTATTACTCAATGTGTTATCAAATCCTTGCAATGAGTTTATATTTTGTACATTTTTGCATTGAAGATTTATGGAAGAATTCAATATTTTTCAAAACGGTTTTATTAATCTAAAATCTTTAAATTAAATTAAATCCACACAAGGTCTGCTTATTTTGGCAAGACTAGAATTAGCTCAAAACAGAGAAAGAATTGAAAGTATTCATTACCATTCTGACAGCTCCACCTTTTCCCCGATTTTTTACCAATGTTAGGACTCGTACTTTGTCACTTCCATATTTCTTGCAGTACTTCATTGCAACCTGTAAGACATAGGAAAGTCATAATAAAACAAAACTGGAACCTCAAATGAAAGATAGAGATCTTATTCTTCCATCCCTTTTTCTTCAATAGCATTGTTACCACTTCAATCTGCATAAAATGGAAATATATTGTCCAGTGCAGAGTTGAAGTCTGTTTAGGAAAATAAAAAAAAAGAGTAAGAAGGTTAACAGCCAGAAAACTGAAGAAACAAGAAGACTAAAATCAGGTAGTGGTCAGAGAGGATAGCTATGGCTGTCCTAAGTCCCCTTCGCCCCACCTGCCAAAGTTAAAGCTAGAAAACCATATCACACGTATTTATACCAGTGCACAAAGCTAGTCTATGAAAAACATGCTTTCACTACTGTTACCTGTCTCCCATTTGTTTCACTGCTATGTCTGCTTTTAAATTAAAACTGTAAGTGCTTTGAGACATGCATTGCTCTTATATAGTGCTTTTCATCATATTTTTCTTCTAGCATAATGGGGCCCTAAGAGACTACAGTGTCACAAATATTTAATAAAGTTGAGCATCAGCTTAAAGCAATTTCAGCGTTCGAGTAGTCGGGCATGAAAGTGCAGAACACCTATGTCTTAGAAGGCTAGACATGTTCATCACTGTACAAGACAGACAATGGCTACTACTTTGAGGGCTTTTCAATCTTTATACAATATTACATAAGAGATAATATGATTCATCCATCATTGACACTGGCAGTAGTAAACAGGTTAGTAAGCTACTGAACACATATGCATGAAAGGACACATAACCTTATCAGGCAAGCTTGAAAGGAAAAACTGAAACAGAAGTAGGCATGCTAGTGGCTAACCTAGAGACAAATCTAGGGTGGTATTTTCAGAAGTTGCTCAGAGCTGGCCTGACTCTGCTCCCACTGAAGTCAATGGTAAGACTCCCATTAACTTCAACAGAAGCAGAAGTAGAGGAAAGCAGAACACTGTTGAAAATCTTACCCTTAATACTTCAGTATTAATGTTTCTAAACGAATACACAACTTTATGCTGTATAACAAATTCTATACAAACTATGCCAAAATACTTTACAGAATAATAAAATGACATTTAAAATTGTGGGAGATCAAGAGGCTTAGATGGGAAAGAATTATGGTCTCAGATGAGATCTGGAAAGAGAAGGGGAGATTTGAAGAAGCAGACACATAGTGATGCTGTTCCAGGTAAGAGAAATCACACAGGACAATGCTCTTGAGGTGAGACTGTGTGGAAAGGAGACACACTGGATGAACAGAGGGGACTGTGGAGGGAAATTCAGCAAGTTACTATATTTCTTCAAAAGAGAACAATTGTGCTGTAGGAATGTTATCCTATGAATGGCATGGACAAGAATGGCAGAAGGAATCTGAGAAATAAACAATTAAAAAACAATGAGCAGCCGATGTGTAGAACAAAAGGTAAAGGTTTGTTACATTTTATAAAAGCTAAAGCAGTGTGATACACATCTGCTCCCTTAGACTGCCAGGTGAGAAACTTTAATATTCTCTTCTTACCTTTGCGGTCTGATCTTTACTGCCATCATCAACAACTATTACTTCATAAGTGAACGCAGGATCTCGTTTCTTAAAAATAAAAATGGAAATTGTGCATTTGGTCCAATCTCTGTCTCTTTCACAAATACACATCTCCCTTCACCCCCTTACTCAAATTGGCAAAATTTCAGCCACCAGAATGTTTTTTTGCCCCTGGAGCCTTCTTCCTCATTCATGTCATAATATACATTTGTACAGATGCACCAATATCATTTTGTAAATTTGCTATGATGATAAACATCCTTAAAGCAACATCAGTCTGTTACCAATATGCTATTCTAATGCTGCCAGATTACATGCTAACTGCTCCATCATAGGTAGTCTTATTTATTTTTAAGCTACTATAAAATGTTGAAAATCAATATTGTTATGAAGTGAACTTGGAGGCTCTGAGAAGCCCTTACGTTAAAGATCAGAAAGAGTTCAAACTATGCCATATTTTCTGAAACTTGCTGCCTCATAAGCCGGTGACCAACCGTAACAGTGTTAGAAAAGCAGGATTTTAAAAACCTTGTGGGAATAAATAGTCTAAATTATATCATCAGCTAACTTTTACTCTCCTATATCATAGAATAGAATCATAGAATATTAGGGTTGGAAGGGACCTCAGGAGGCCATCTGTCCAACCCCCTGCTCAAAGCAGGACCAATCCCCAGACAGATTTTTGCCCCAATCCCTAAATGGCCCCCTCAAGGATTGAACTCACAACCCTGGGTTTAGCAGGCCAATGCTCAAACCACTGAGCTATCCCTCACCCCTATGTTTATCCTGGATAGGTATCACGTGGGTACAAGTCTCTTCCAAGTGGAACAGTTAATTTTTATATTTCAGTAAAAATTGCCTTCCATCATACAGTCTGAAAAAGAACTCATGAAGAGATGTTGCCAGGTTAGAGTGCTTATCTTTTATTTGGATAATTTTATATTGCTTCTAGGCAGATCACAGAAATCCAAACAGGCAGTTTGTTTTCATATACTTACAAGGATACTATATTTTAAATGAGAAAATGAAAGTTTCACACCTGTCTTTTTTCAAGATAGTCTAAAGCTTCATCCATCATAAGAGGCACTGGAAGGAAAAAAATACCACAAAAGCTGGTTTAAACAAAGCATCAATAAAAGCATATTTAAAATATTTTCACATCCCAAAGAAGTCAGGTCTCCAGATAAAAAATACCATTGATTTGAAAATATGGAAACAAAAAAACAAAATTACAGTTATAAATTTAATCCCATCTGGACTAAAAATTAGGTTAACTGTATTTTACTCCCAGCTCTGCCACCAAAATCATTATGCAGTCTCTAGCATTATGTAATTCTGTATGCCCGTTTCCCTCTTCCCAGATAGTAAATTATTTTTACAGGCTCTGATGCTGCAAAGACTTGTGCACTTCGGAGTTACTGGGGCTACTCACAGTGTGTAATGTTAAACTCATGTTAAGTCTTCAAAGAACTGGAGCCTTGTATTGTAAAGTCTTTTGGGAGGAAAGACCATTTTTTCATGAGTTTTTACAGAGCCTACCACTATGGGGCCTGACAGGAGCCTCTGGGTGCTACTGTTAATATAAACACTTGACTTCTACAAGTGAAAACCACAAGTATTATAGGATTTAAATTCTGGTTTGTACTTAACACTGGGGGTAATTTTTAATTATTAATAAAATGGTTACATTAAATTACAGGCACAAAATAACTATGCAAAGAAATATGATTAGAAAAAGCAAATTAGCTGAGGCACTAGGCTGAGCACTAAATATTACCAGCATGAGCCAGCTAACAGCAACTGGGTAGATAGGTAGAGCAAATTGCCTCAGCAAAAAAGTGTTGATTTCTGCAAACAGGGTGACCATCTGTGACTCCAACCCCTGCCCTTCCTGGATAGAGAAAGAGTACAGAACATCTGGGACACTCTCCTCCCTTCCCCAATATCAGGGGGTAGTAAAATTTCCTTTGAGGAGGGAAATCTACTACCTATCCTGAAAAAAGCAATAATCCAACCAATACTAATGAAACCACCACTCTACACTAGTGACCTTGCAAACCATCACATGCTGTCCAACCTTTTTTCTAAGCGAGCTAACAGAAGACAGCAAAATACGTTACTAACACTACCTGTCAGCTGCTAGTACCCTGGATCGCTCTTAGTAAGGTTTCAGGCCAGGATATGCGACTGAGGGTATGTCTACACAGCAGCTCATGCCAGCCAACTCAGGCTCACAGGTCTCTGGCTGGTTTCACTAAAGCACAGACTTCTGGGCTCGGGCTGAAGCCTGGGTTCTAGGACCTTGTGTGGTGGGAGGGTCCCAGAGCTCAGGCTCCAGACCAAGCCGGGAAGTCTACACTGCAATGAAACAGCCCCGCAGACCAAGTTCTGCGAGCCCAAGTTGCCTGGCGTGGGCTAGCCCCGGTTTTTCACTGCAGTTTAGACATACCCTGAGACGGCACTTATTGCTCTTGTGGCTGATCTGTTCATAGACAAGGACATACATACACGGCATCCTGGTGGCTCTCTCTGCAGAGAGAGAGAGAAAAGACAACAACATAGTCTGAAGTGCCAACAATAAGTAGACAGCATCCAGCTCCTTCACATCAAAAGGACCTTTCCATTTTAAGGTTAAATGACTTGCCCAAGTTCACACAGGAAGTGCATGGCAAAGCCAGGAATAGAACCCATATCTCCTAAACAACAAGACCATTCCTTCCGCCTGATTAAAGCCACCGGTACGGGCTCCAGAATGCAAAATTCTAAAACAATTAAAGCATAAAGATACATTTTTACTCCTAACCTCCATACTGACTTTAAGAGCCACTAAAGACCAGCTAAAAGTGGCGTTTATAATCTTTAAGCAACCTAGTTTACTCCTGGAGGGATTCTGCGCCCAAAAATAAAAAATTCTGCAAAATGCTGCATATTTTATCAAAATAATGCAATATAATCACACCAGTTCCAATTGTTTTGGTAATTTGTTTAAACTATAATACAGAAATTTCACAATAACAATTCAGCATTTCCTAAACACATGAAAGTTAAGTTACAAACACTTGGTAACTAATACCCTGCATTCCAGTTATAATCCTGGATTTTCATTTAAATTACATTACAGAACACCAAACAGCAAACAAACAAACAAACCAAAAAAACAAACAAACAAACAAAAAAGTAGAATGCCATTTTAAACTGCTCAGACTTTCACACATGAAAGTCATACAGTTTTGCTAATCATTGTCCTGAACCTGGCTGGCTACTTTGGGAAGTGCTCGGTTCTGATTGTCCTGATGTTTTATTGACTCCTTGGTAAGTATTTTATTTGCCCTCAAAGTCTTTTTTTTTTTTTTTAAATGGGTAAGTAAAATAAATCCTGAGCTGTAATCTAACCCCACTGTGCCACTTGGCACAGGAAAAGAGTGAGAAAGCACATAAGATCTTCCTAGCTGATTCTGTTACTGTCATTTAGGACATGTCTACACTGGCAAAGTTACAGTGCTGGCAGTTACAGCGCTGCTCAGATAGCACAGAAGGAAAACTGCTGTTGTGTGTTCACACTGACAGCTGCGTGCACAATAGTATATTCATACTTGCGGTGCTATTCGGAGCGGTGCACTGTGGGCAGCTATTCTACAGAGCACCTCTTTCTCTTTTGCTGCTAACACTTGTGGGAAGGCGGAAGGGGTTGCGGGGCATCCTGGATGCTGTCCCAATGCCCCATGATGCATTGCTTCGCATCCCAGCAATCCCTGTGCTTCCGTCCGCATTTGGCGCCATCTTTCAATGGTTTGTGTACTGCGTGCTCTGTCCTGCCTCGCCTCTTTCTGGCTTCAGGAATGGATCCCGAGCTGTTGACAAGAATGCTTGCTGTTTGCACTGACCAACATGTCACAGGTGACAGTGGAGATATTCCTTAAACTACAAAGGCAAGAGGAGTGTGACATTGATCTCGCCACACATAGTAGCTATGACACGAGAATACTTGTGGTATTCGCGGAGGTGCTGACCACAGTGGAATGCCGCTTTTAGGCTCGGAAAACAAGCACTGAGTGGTGGGATCACATCGTCATGCATGTCTGGGATGACGACAAGCGGCTGCAGAACTTTCGCACGAGGAAAGCCACATTCATGGGCCTGTGTGATGAGCTTGCACCAGCCCTATAGCACAAGAACACGAGAATGAGAGCTGCCATGCCGTTGGAGAAGAGCATAGCGATTGTACTGTGGAAGCTGGCTACTCCAGGCTGCTACCGATCGGTCGCTAATCAGTTCGGAGTGGGAAGGTCAACCGTTGGAATTGTGTTGATGCAAGTGTGCAGGGCCATTAATTGCATCCTGCTCCGAAAGACTGTGACTCTGGGCAACGTGTGAGAGATTGTGGATGGCTTTGCACAAATGGGCTTCCCTAACTGCGGAGGGGCGATAGATGGCATGCACATTCCAATTCTGGCACCAGACCACCTAGCCACTGAGTACATTAATCGCAAGGGGTATTTCTCAATTGTTCTCCAGGCGCTTGTGGATCACCATGGGCGTTTCACAGACATTAACGCAGGTTGGTCCGGAAAGGTGCATGATGCACGCATCTTTCGGAACACTGGCCTGTTCAAGAAGCTGCAAGCAGGGACTTTCTTCCTGGACCAGAAGATCACCCTAGGGGAAGTCGAAATGCCCATCATGATCCTGGGAGACACCGCCTACCCCTGAATGCCATGGTTCATGAAGCCATACATAGAGCAACTTGACAGCAGCAAGGAGCGGTTCAACAACAGGCTGAGCAAGTGCAGAATGACTGTGGAGTGTGCATTCGGCTGTTTAAAAGCCCACTGGTGATGCCTGTATGGGAAGCTGGACACGGCCGATGACAATATTCCTATGCTTATAGCCGCATGCTGTATGCTCCATAATATTTGTGAAGGGAAGGGTGAAAGCTTCACTCAGGGCTGGACCGCAGAGGCTCAGTGCCTGGAGGCTGAGTTTGAACAGCCGGAGACCAGGGCTATTAGAGGGGCACAGCGCAGGGCCATAAGGATCAGGGAGAGGAGAGAGTCAAATGAAAAAATTCATCAGCAGGGAGGGGGCTGGGGGAATGGAAGGAATGGGGGAGTGAAGGTCTCAAGAAGAGGAGGGGTCCCAGGATGGCTACAGATTTGGGTGTGTCCAAGGATCATACCCAACCTTCTCCTTTGGAGTACGATGCACCGGGTGCTGTACTTCAGCAGGGCCAAACTGCAGATGGATGGGTGCTGAGTACTGTGGGTATTGGGAGTCCACACTGCTGGACTGTGAGGAGGGAGGAGTGGAATGCTGCGGGTAGAGAGCGGAGCCAGGAGTTTGATAAGAGTGTGTTGGTAGGGTGCGTGGGAAAGAATTTTGCGACAGTGGCTGCAGGGGAGGGCGGGCACAGAGCTGCTCGGTTTGAAGAGCTAGTATCTCCTGGAGCATGTCCGCTTGGCACTCCATAACTGTTAAGAGCCGCTCTGTGGCTTCTTTCTGGTGTGCCGCGCTCTCCTTTTGTTCCCCTCTTCTCGCGATCTCACCACTCCTTCAATTCCTGTTTCTCGGAGGCAGAGTGCATCATAACCTCACGCATAAAGTCCTCCTTAGTTCTTCTTGGATGCTTTCTAATTCTTCGCAACCATTCTGCCGCCGATAAGGGAGGCTGGCCTCCCAAGGTCATCTCTGTGAAGTTTAAATGCAACATTTTACAGAAGCAGTATTGTTTGCAACACAGACAACACTGTTTCAGTGCTTTAAAACACAGCCAGTACTCACACACCTGTCACTAACTGGCTGACCCCAAGCAAGCAAAACATAAGCCACAAGACCCCCAAAATGGTGAGTAGGGGCAGGGTAAATCACTGTTCCTGGACCCTCCTGTACACGGGCACGTGGCTCTTGGGGAGAGCCAGCACTGTAGGGAGGGCCTGATAATCATTCCTGTTCCCACACGAGGTGTTCATTATGGAAGATATCTCGCTGCCGAGGGTGAGCAGGGAATGAAAGGAGGGTCTTCTCCAAGCATGCGGCTTCCGCCCTGGCCCCTATGCGGCTAGCCTGTGTGCAGCTATGGTCCCGCCCCACCCCACCCCCCCCCTCCGCCCGTGACGGCACAATGGCGTGGGAAAGTTACCATTAATGGGGCAAGAAACAGCTCTGCCGAGGAACCTGCAGGAGTGGATTGCCCAGTATCTCCATGAGAGTTTCCTGGAGATCTCTGAGGGAGATTCATGTGAAGTGAGGGAGTGTATCAACAGCCTGTTCCGCCACTCAAACTAGGCAGGAGGTGAGAGAAGCCTGCTTTCTGCAACCCTTCTGCCCCCAGCAACTCGCTTCAGCAATTCCCAAAATCAGATCCACATACCAGGGGCCTCCTCTCCTGTTTGCGCTTTGCCAAGATCTGACTGCTGTGACTGGCTAGGTTCCTCCGGGGTAGAAAAGAGCTCCTGACTGCATGCATCTCTGGCCTCCGAGTCATCCTCTGCTTCTGGTTCCCCCTCCCCCTCTTCATCCAAGATTGCCTCCTCCTGGCTCAGTCCACTCTCGACAGGCAACGAAGCCAACGAAGTATCCACAGGGGACTTTGCAGTGGAGGTGAGGTCACCACCGAGTATCGCGTCCAGCTCTTTGTAGAACCGGCAGCTCGTGGGCACAGCACCAGAGCAGCGGTTTGCCTCCCGCGCCTTATGGTAGGTGTTCCACAGCTCCTTCACTTTGACCCTGCACTGCAATGCGTCCTGGTCATGGCCCTTTTCTATCATGCATCTAGAAATCTGTCCATAGGTATCATAATTCCGACGGCTGGAGCACAGCTGTGACTGCACTGCCTCCTCTCCCCAAATGCCGATGAGGTCCAGCAGCTCGGCATTGCTCCAAGCATGGGATCGCCTGGTGTGTAGAGCAGGCATGGCCACCAGGAAAGATGTGCTGAAACCACTGCACGCATCACTGAGCAAACAGGAAGGGAACTTTCAAATTTGCAAAGGAATGTATGGGGTGGGGCTGACAGTTGGTCACCTGAACGCAGGGCAGTACAGTTCAAACCGATGGGCAGAGAGGTGAGAACAGGCATTGTGGGACACCTCCCGGAGGCCAATCGCAGCGCTGTAATCACCACATGTCTACACTGGCACTGCAGCACTGTAGCCATGGTGCAGAAAGGTCTACGCCTCTCATCTAGGCTTTTTTTTAAGAGCGCTGCATCTGCGCAGCTTCTGCTCACTAAGTGGCTTGGCAGTGTATACATCTCGGTAGTTACAGCGCTCAAAACTGCTTTACTGTGCACAAACTTGCCAGTGTAGATGGGGCCTCATAAGGCTTTACATCACTCTGGCAATGTAGGGGCCTTAAAACTATTACAGGTTTTATGCTCCTGGGGGAATTGACTGAGAATGGGAACAGTTAACTAACAATAGGAACATTAACAATGTTACTACTAGGCACGCTGCTACATTTCTGCCTCAGAAAATGAGATCAATTAACTAGCAGGCAGGCTGCTACATTTCTGCCTCTGGGACAGAGCCTTCCTTCTGCATAAATAAGAGCCCTACCCCTCCATGCCCGGCGAACTGCAGTAGCAAGCAAGAGGGACAGAGTCTCTCTTGCTTGTTGGCAGGTAGGCACGCCCCACCCCGACAGTGATCAACGTCTCCGACGCAGGCACGTACACCCAGCCCCCTTCCCCCGCAGTGATTTGTGTCTCCGAGGCTGCTCCAAGCACACTGGAACAGATGCGCTGCCTGGGCTGCGGCACATGTCCCCCTGCAGATGTCTTTTGCATTTTTCTGCGTGAAGGGCACAGAAATATGCGGGCCATATGAATTCTGTGCCCCCACAGGGGAGCAGAATTATTAACTAGTACTCCTGACAGAAACATCTACCCTTATTTCACAAGATTTTAGTGACACTGGGTTCTTACAGAAAGTAGCTTAATTTCTGTTGCTAAAAAAAAAGCACATGGCTAGATTCTACAGTAGCTCTATGTGCAGAACTCCCATTTATTTGATTGTGACCTGGGACCTGGGTATGCAAAAAGGCTACAGAATCTGGCCTGCAATTTTATGTTGCTGACATTCACCAATAATGCAGAGCTAAGTTTAACTCTTTAAAAAGAAAACAATGAAGTATTCTTACACCTGTCTTCCTCATTGTACGAAGGCACAACAACAGAGAGCTCCTTTGTAGGAGGGTCATGTATGCTTGGTATAGATTCCTTCTTCCCTTCAGCATTTACAAAGAACTTCTCTTCTTCATGGCGATGAAAATTTGGCATTTTGGTGGCAGTTACATGGGCAACAATAGTAATCTGTGATTAAAAAAATAACAAATGGTATTAGTGACAATGGTTCAGCAGCAAAGTCTATATTCATTGTTTGCATAACGGGATTCTGTTTAAGAGTTAAACAAACTATTCTAATTGGCTGAACAAGGGAGTATCAAATGTAGCCCACTGATACAGCCCAGTAATCCACAGCCATTCCTATTACAAACACGGTGGAGTGGTCTATTGAGGAGTGCTCTTTTATCCACTGCCCAGATCAAAAAGGAACTTTACCTGTCAGGACTTATAATCTTCATATGGCATTAAGCTGTTCTATTTTATGTAGATAAGGCATGGCCTAAGTTTCCTGGCAAGTCGCCAGTGAAATTTTCAACTGGAAAAGGTTTGAGTGGCTCTGCGATAAGGCACTGTCCCAAGCTACCATAAACTTGCCTCAATGAACATTCTAGACCATGGTGCCCGCCAGGTCTAAACCTTGTAGCTATGTCCACTGTATTTATTGATAACTAGTCACTAAAATCATAGAGTGTAGCAAGCATTAGCAGCAACTATAATATTAAGCAATTCCATACAAGAAGCAAATCTTATCACATATAAAACTGATATTAAACTATGTAATTAAGTGTAAAAACTTTTGTTTACCATTAAAAATGGCACATACTCATAAACAGAGTGGAACACACACACACACACACATGAATATCCCACATATCACTACCTCTATGAACAGACTAACTAGTAAAGAAGAGATGGGCCACCATAATCTTCAGTAACCACAAACTTCAGTAACTATGGAATGATGTCTTAGGGCTTACAGAAGTATGACCATAACTGAATAGGGAAAGAGGAGAAAAAAAAACCAATTAAATATATAGGTAATAAGTTTGCATGTCTTCTAAATCCTATTTCTAGGTCTCCAGTGTGTGTTTTAAGTCTTATTTTCACCTTCTTATTTGTAATGAATTTGGGACAGGGACTGTTGACATCTGTGTCTCGTGCAGCACCAGACACACTGCTGGCACTTACTAATAAGTCCTGCCGGCTTCTCCAACAGAGCTTCCAAGTTCTTTGAACAAAATAAAATACTTAAATGAATTTGTAGTTTAGATTTTCTTAACATTAGAAAAAGTGCTTTTATCCTCAAACTAAATACTGTAATGGCTCCAGGGAATGTAATCTAGATTTAAATTTCAGTTTTATTTATAGCTTAAATTCTAAATAACAACATTCCTTTTAAAACTGGGTCACAGCAAAAATGGTTGAAGTCTGAAAGTTAGCAAGGGCAGTCTTCAGTACTTTGTTTGAAAGAAATTGGTTTTAATTTCACAAAATAATGAAGTTTTGAAAATTGTATAGGACCTGATCCTACAGAGCATTGTGACCTCCCTCTCATTGGCTTCAGTGGTAGCTGAAGACGCTCAACACCTGCATACACCTCAGAAAGTTTCTTTTAATCTACAGGTATATACTTAGGCCATGTCTACGCTACGGCAGCCTAGCTAAAAGTGCTGCAGCTATGCCACTGTAGTGCTGCAGTGCAGATTCCTTCCATTCCTGTAGGAAGTGTTTTTCTGTTGCTCCAGATAATCCACCTCTCTGAGTGGCAATAGTTAGGTCAATGGAAGAATTCTGCCATCAGCCTAGTTACTTCTACACTGGGGGTTGAGTCGCCATAGCTACAGCACTCAGCAGTGTGAATTTTTCACACACTAATCACCATTATCTCTGTCAACCTAACTTTTAGGCTCTGATACCACACACTAAGGAAAGCAGGCAAACCTTTGAATGGAGCCCCATTGACTTAAGTTTTCAAAAGTCCACCCTTGCAAGTTAGCTTGTCGGATCAGGGCCTTAAACAGAGAAACACTATTCACATGTTCACAAATAGGCAGGCACTTGTCAGTTGAGAGAATATTCATAGATTCCAAGGCCAGAAGGGACCTTTGTGATCATCTGATATGACTTCCTATTAACACACAGGCCATGGAACTTTCCCAAAATTATTCCTAGAGCGTATCTTTTAAAAAACCCATCCATTCTTGATTTAAAAATTATCAGTGATGGAGAATCCACCACAACCCTTGGTAAATAGTTCCAGTGATTAATTATTCTATTTAAAATTTACACTGTATTTCCAGGCTAGCTTCAACTTCCAGTCATTGGATCTTGTTATACCTTTCTCTGCTAAAGAGCCCATTTTAAATATTTGTTCCCCATATAGGTACTTACAGATTGTAATCAAGTACCTTAACCTGCTCTTTGTTAAGCTAAATTGATTGAGCACCTTGAGTGTACCATTATAAGGCATGTTTCCTAATTCTTTAATCATTCTTGTGGCTCTTTTTTCAGAATGGTCTCCCATTTTTCAACACCTTTCTTGAATAGTGGACACCAGAAATGGACACAGTATTCCAGCAGTGGTTGCATCAGTGCCAAATATAGAGGTAAAATAACCTCTCTGCTCCTACTCAAGATTTCCGTTTATGCATCCAAGGATCACATTAGCTCTTTTGACTACAGTGTTGCACAAGGAACTCATGTTCAGCCTATTATCCACAATGACCACCACATTTTTTTCAGCAGCAAAGAGTCCTGTGGCACCTTATAGACTAACAGACGTATTGGAGCATGAGCTTTCGTGGGTGAATACCCACTTCGTCAGGTGAGAAAGCACTTCACTGAGATTAGATAACATTGGATGAGATGAAGGATCAACACCTTTCCACACCAATTTGCCAACCCAGTGGGAAAGTCTTTATACTAGGTTCAAAGGGGGCAGGTGACAAAAGATGTAGATATAAAGAAAATGTGCTCTTACCAGAGGGCTAGATGTTTGGGATGGAATGAAGAATTACAATAGGGTCATAGGAGCAGGAAGAGGTAAAAGAGTGGGAGAATCTGCTCAACATCTTACATGTCTATACATAAAGGCAAGGAGTATGGGGAATGAACAGGAAGAATTGGAAGTATTAGTACAATAGCTAACTTATGATTTAATAGGTGAGTGGGATGAATCTCAATTGCAATATTGGTATACAGGGGTATAGCTTGTTCAGGAAGGACAGGCAGACAAAAAAAGGGAGTAGATGTTGGATTACACACCAAGAACATATACACTTGTTCTGAGGTCCAGGTGGTGGTGAGAGGCACACAAGTTTAAAGTCCCGGGATGAAGATAAAAACAAACAAACAAAGGCAATGTCATATTAGGGGTCTACAATAAACAACCACATCAGAGACAATGGATGATTCATTTCTAGAACAAATAACAGAAATATCCGAAACACAAGACCCACCCAAACATCTGTCGGAAAACTAAAGTGACATAACACAAAGTGTCCTATAAATTCTTGGACTGTATTGGGGACAACTACTTTTTTCAGAAGGTAGAGGAAGTAACCAGGAGACATCCACTTTAAACTTGATTCTCACTAACAGGGAAGAATGAGTTGCAAATCTGAAAGTTAAAGGCAATTTCGGTGAAAGTGACAATGAAATGATAAATTTCCTAATTCTAAGGAAAGGAAAGAGTGAGAGCAGCTGAATAAGGACAATGGACTTCAAAGAAGCAGACTTTATCAAACTCAGGGAATAGTAGGTAAGGTCCCACGGGAAGAAAATCTAAGGGAAAAAGGAGTTCAGGGGAGAAAGTTTCTCAAAGAGCTAATATTAAAGGTGCATCAGCAAACTATCCCAATGCAAAGGAAAGACGGGACTAATACTAAGAGGCTAATATGGTTGCATTAGGAGCTCTTTAATGACCATTGTGAAAATCAAAAAGGAATCCTACAAAAAGTGAAAATATAAACAAATTGCTAAGGAAGAGTACAAAAGAATAGCACAAGCATGTAGGGCCAAAATCAGAATGGTTCTGGCACAAAATGAGTTACACCTAGCAAAGGCAATAAGAGGCTCTATAAATACATTAGGAAAAACAGAAAGATGAAGGAAACACACTACTTAGCAAGGAAGGAGAGCTAATAATAGATAACATCAAGAAGTCTGAGGTATATAATGACTATTTTGCTTCAGTCTTTACTAAAAGTTTTTATGGTGACCAGATACGTAACACAATATTAAGAACAAGGGAGAAGGAACACAAGCCAGAATAGGGAATGAACTGGTTAAAGAATATTGAGGTAAATTAGATATATTCAAGATGGCATGGCCTGATGAAATTAATCCTAGGTTACTTAAAGAACTAGTTGGGGCAATCCTGGAAGTGATTATCAGCCCAGAAGACTGAAGAAGGGCAAACATAGTACTTATCTTCAAAAGAGGGGAAGGGCAGAGAAATAAGAGCCCAGGGAATTATAGACCAGTCAGTCTAACTTCGATACCTGGAAAGATTTGTAAGCACCTAGAGGTTATTAGGGCAGTAAGTAAGAGCCAACATGAATTTGTCAAAAACAAATCATCCCAAACCAACCTACTTTCCTTCTTTAAGGGGCTACCAGCCTAGTGGCTGGCGAGGGAAGTGACAGACGTGATTTTAGTAAGGCTTTTGACAGTCTCATAAGCAAACTAGGGACATGTGGTCTAGATTAAATTGCTATAAAGTGGGTACATAACTGGCTGAAAGACCGTACTCAAAGAGTAGTTATCAATGGTTCGCTGTAAAGCTGCGAGGAAATACCTAGTGAGGTCCCTCAAAGATCTGTCGTGGGTCCAGAACTATTCAATGTTTTCGTTAAGAACTTGGGTAATGGAGTGGAGAGTATACTTATAACATTTGCAGATGGCACCAAACTGTGAAGTGTTGTAAGCACTTTGGAGGACAAAGGTAGGATTCAAAATGATCTTGACAAATTGGTCTAAAATCAACAAAATGAAATTCAATAAAGACAAATGCGAAGTACTACACTTGGGGGAAAAAAATCAATTGCACAACTACGAAATGGGGAATAACTGGCTGGGATCCAGGGTTTATAGTGGATGACAGACTGAACCTGAGCCAACAAACAGGATGAAGCTGCAAAAAAAAAAAGACCAGGATGCAGCTACCGTTAACAGGTGTCAGATGCAAAGTGGAGGAAGTAACTGTCCTGGTCTGCTCAGCACTGGTGAGGCCTCAGCTGGAGCACCGTGCCCCGTTTTGGACACTACACTTTAGGAAAGATATGGACAAATTGGATTAAGTCCAGAAGAGAGCAGCAACAATGATAAAGGGTTTAGAAAACCTGATCTGAGGACAAGTTAAAAACACGGGGCTTTAGTCCTGAGAAAAGAAGACTAAGGAGGGACCAGATGAGAGTCTGCAAATACCACAAGGGGTGTTACAAAGAGGTGCGTGGCCCTTCCCCAGGCATCAGCTCCGCCTCAGTGCTCCCACTCCGGTTTGGGGGTCCAGTCGCCCCCCCCCCCGCCGGGGCTCCGGGCTGCTCCCCCCTAGGAAGGGATAAGCGGGGCCTCGCCCAGCGAGCGGCTCCGGCTCTCAGCTCTCTCGGGGGCTGCCCTGTTTGCGGGGCGATGGCCCCGCCCGGGCCGGTGTGTGCGGAGACCCCTGGGGCCGGGGGCTCCCTCTCCCCGCGGGGGGTCTCTCCGCACTCCCGGGGGGGGGGGGCGCTGGGCTCCGCCCTCACCAGGCTCAGGGCTGCGGCCGCCAAGGCAGCGAGCGCCGCGACCACGTCAGCCAGGAGAGACTCCATGGCCCATGCCCGGCGCGGCCCTATGGGGCAGCTCCACCGATGCGGAAGCGGCTCCCGGACGCGGCGCTGACAACCCGCGCGTCCTCCCAGCGTGTCACGCGGGAGAGGAAGCGCGCTCCCGACCCCGGAAGTAGATCGCGACGGGCGGAAGTGAGACTATGGCGGCCGGATTCAAGTAAGTAACCGGGCGAAGCAGCTTCTTGTCCCGGCGTTCGCTATTCCCCCTCCCCCTGCCGGGAGCCGAGCTGCGCCGGCCGGGCGGGCTCTGAGCCGGGCTCGCCCTGGCCCCGGGGGGATCGCTGGCCGCGCGAGGAGCCGGGAACACGGCACGCGTCTGCCTGGAAGCTGCGCTGGGCCCAGGCCGCTGCCGAGCCCTCAGGCCTGGCGATGGCCGCGGGTGCCAGGCTGTGGGTGGGTTTAGCCTTCAGCTGGACCGACCCGCTGCCTGCTCGTAACGTGCCGCGCCCGGAGCTCTGCCAGGCCCCGAGGCTGGGAACCGGCCGCTGCCAGGAGCGACTCCCCCGGGATCTGCAGCTCCTGCTCTCAACGGGGGGGAGAGAAACACACCGCCCAGGAGACCCCCCTCTCGCCCCTTACTTTCCCCGGGCGGAGCTGATCCACCCACTCCTTGTTACTGGCGATCGTGGAAATCGAGAGGCTAAGGGCATGTGTAATCTTATGCATGTGAGTAATCCCAGTGAGTTCACTGGGGCTCCCCATATGTATTACAATTCTGCACAGGCATCATGCTATTTGTGGCCCTTACTCTCTATTGGAAAATCAACATTTTATTTTCCCCTTCTCTTACACAACATATAAAAAGCAATTCCGTTTATTTTTCATTCCATCCAAATGTATCTATATTCCAAAACTAAAAACTTAGTTCAGAGGCAGTTAAAGCTATTAAGGTTTTGTGTCAATAATAGGAATGTGCCCTTTCAGTGTCCAGTTAAGGGGAGAGACCAGCCCCCTACCTCGCTACACCCCCTCTCAAATTATCCACTTTCAATGCAACGTTGCAGTCTACCAGAGAAAAGTTCCTTCTGCTTCAAGGAGTTACAGAAATACACTCTTCTTCCCACGTTCATAAGCCTTGTAGTGTAACTCACACCCGTAACTGCTGTCTCATACTTTTGCCAAAAAGCATTTCATTCCCAGTAATATTGACCCCCAGATATGTGAAATATTTTTTGGGGAAAGTGAGATTGCAGGTTAAGGGTTTGTTTGTTTGTTTTAAAAGTGAGAGCTAATCTTAACGAGCTAAGGTATTTTGAAACGTGGATCTCTGTCTATGCCAGAGGAAAAGTCTTGGTGGAAGTCATAGCAACTATAATCTTTTCCTAATCAAAACAAGGCCCAGGCATTAGTTGCTGGAGTGGAGGGATCCATCTGTAGACAGTTAGAGGAAAGTGGGTGTTAAGTGTAAGGACTGGTTGGACAAGGAGACTGTTCCCATGCATTTGGGGGAGGGTTGTTTCTGCATTGACCCAACTATCTTTTGCTTCTTCCCTGTGTCTCTCAATCAATTAAATGGGGCACAGTAGACAGTATTGCCTGAGCCAGTGACGAATAGCCCTTATGTCCATGCTAGTTGGGGATATCTCAAGGAACACCGACAGGGATTAACATTACCCTTGTGCTCGTAAATTGTCAGAACTATGTTGGGTTTATGTTGTCTTTGAAAATATAATAAAAGTTCTCACTCAGAGTTACCATTTCCATGACTTTTCTCCAAAAATATTTGTTTGAACAAAACTTGAGAAGGCCTTATGCCAAAGATTAACTTCTCTCCTGGAAATGTCATTTTAATGTCTGTGCTGCAGTGTCATAACAATTTCTGGCTGTGGAACATTCTGTTTTAGTTTCTGTGTTCCATATCTTAGCAACTCTCTGATTTGAAAAATTGTGTCATCATAAGGGCTATGCAGAAAACAGCCTGCAGCATTAAATTCTATGTTAAAAATGCTGTTGTCATACTACATAAATTGGTGTATTTGTAACTTCTATGAAGAAAAGGATTATTTATTTATGCTCCAAATAAACATAGGTAGATGTAGGATAAATATAACTTGAATTCTTTAATTTTATCTTACATTTGGTTAAGGCAATATATTTGTGTTGTAAAGAAAGGCCCTGAGAAGCAAAGTAGAGGGAAGGCCTGGAAAATAAGAAGTGATAAGGCCAGAAGGAATAAAGTAGAGAGGATGTGTGGTTCAAAGAATAACTAATGGGATAAGGGGAAGTTTCTAAAAAGGCGGCTTCTGACCAATAGGGGTGACTGCAGATAGATTCTCTTTCTTTGATTAAAAACCATCTTAAAATGAGCCAATACGGCCCTTCAGCAACCCACACACCAGTGTTAAAGCCTATGTGAACCCAGGTGCAATGGGAAAGCTGTTGGGACAGCAAGAAGGAGGGGAAGAAAGCCCTTGGGAAGATAGGACGTTGTACATTTCATCGGAATTAAGACTGGAAATAAGGGTGAACTGTCTCAGATTTGACTTCAGCTGAAAACCAGTAATTGGCAATGACATCGCTTTGTTAAAGGGCATAAAAAGCAAGCTTTTAAAGGGTTCATTGCTAATACCTGCCTGACCACGTTACAGCTGACCAATATGGGTCTAAGCACTGGATTTAGCTCATTTGTAAGTATATTGTAATGTTTCTTATAAATGTTTTGTTACTGTTTGGATGTAGTAAATTGCTTAGTATTTAGGCTTTTTAGGCATGTTTAGAGCAACTACATATTGACCTTTGGATTTAATAAAGGAATTTATGGTTAAATTGGTTTTTGATTTCCCATATTAATAATTTCAAGTATTATTAATACCAACAGTCAAGTAATGTGTGAATCAGAAATCAGATTTCAGTATGGGCTCGGAGAACTTAGATTGTAAACGCTTCAGGTACCAAATAATAATACAAAGGTGACACCCCATTGAAAATTTTAAAAAGTGGTAATTTTTGAAGCAGTCATGTTGTGTATGCATAAACCAATTAATCATCAAACTAACCTGAAAAATTCAAATACTACATCAATTTTAATTTGCAACATTTCTTAAAGAATATTTAACACTCCTATTTCAATCAAATCTCTTATGCAGCCATAACTATGGTATTGCTACAAACTCCATCATAATATTAGCTTTTACAGATTCTCAGTTTTCAAGCTAGGGTTTTTTATGTATGTAGTTACATAAGCTGCAGTAAAGCGTGGGTTTTATTGTGGGATCTCTCTCTTTCTCTCCCATTTTTCAAACTTCACTCTTTATAACCCTTTTTCAAAGCCCTTGCCACAAGGCACCCATGCCTTCAGAACCTATGAGTTCTAGTGTGAAAATGACCAGAAAGAACACTGTAGAGGGCTCTAGTCTTTCTGAAATTGTCACTCACTTGGCTAATGTGCTGTCAGCCAAGGAACAAAAAACAGAGCTTGACTCTGAAACTCAGATGCCCACTGAGTAACACTTGCTTTTCTGCTAGATTTTAGATAGCTATTTACTTTGTGAAACAGATTATGCATATGAATTTTAAATTTTGTGTCTATTTTAGAACTGTGGAACCTTTGGAATATTACAGGCGATTTTTGGTGAGTAAAACATCATCTATACATAAGTTAAATAGACTTAGAATATATTTTTCTCGTACAGCTACTGTACCTCTGTTGCTGTTCTCTTTAAATTATACATAAACTCCAATGGGGTTTTGCTTTTCCTTAAAGCCTTTCGTAAAAGAAAATCTTTCAGACTCTTCAGGATAGGGACTTTCTATTCTATGGCTGTGATCCTGTGAGTGCTTATGTACATGTGACTAGTTTCATTGGCCTCAAAGGGACTGCTAAGTGGATAAAGTTAAACGTGCTTAAGTGCGTACAGGATTGAGGCCTTGGTTTGTACAGTGCCTTGCACAATGGGAGCCTGACCAGGGTGGTGGCTTTTAGGCGCTACCAAAATACAAATAATAAATAATATCACTGACAGTGTCCTTGAAAAAGACAAATTCTAAGTCTACATTAATAATGAATGTTAAACGAAAGATAATAGAAGATAAGAAGATGAAAGTAACAGCATGGATTTGTCGAGAACAAATTGTGTCAAACCAACCTAATAGCTTTCTTTAACAGGGTAACAAGCCTTGTGGGAAGCAGTAGATGTGGTATATCTTGACTTTAGTAAAGCTTTTGATACTGTCTCGTATGACAGACTCATAAACAAACTAGGGAAATATAACCTAAATGGAGCTACTGTAAGGTGGGTGCATAACTGGTTGGAAAACTGTTCCCAGAGAGTAGTTATCAGTGGTTCACAGTCAAGCTGCAAGGGCATCTTGAGTGGGGTCCCGCAGGGATCAGTTCTGGGGCCAGTTCTGTTCAATATCTTCATCAATGATTTAGATATTTATAAAGTTTGCGGACAATACCAAGCGGGGAGAGGTTGCAAGTGCTTTGGAGGATAGGATTAAAATTCCAAATGATACAGACAAAGTGGAGAAATTATTTGAAGTAAATAGGATGAAATTCAATAAGGACAAATGCAGAGTTCTCCGCTTAGGAAGGAACAGTCAGTTGCACACATGCAAAATGGGAAATGACTGCCTAGGAAGGAGTACTGCGGAAAGGGGTCTGCGGGTCATAGTAGATCATAAGCTAAATTGAGTCAACAGTGTAACACTCTTGCAAAAAAAAAAAAAAAAAAAGCAAACATCATTCTGGGATGTATTAGCAGGAGTGTTGTAAGGAAGACACGAGAAGTAATTCTTTTGCTCTATTCTATGCTGATTAGGCCTCAATTGATGTATTGTGTCCAGTTCTGGGTGCCACATTTAAGGAAAGATGTGGCTAAATTGGAGAAAGTCCAGAGAAGAGCAACAAAAATGATTAAAGGTCTAGAAAACATGACCTATGAGTGAAGAGTGAAAAAATTGGGTTTGTTTAGTCTGGAAAAGAGAAGACTGAGAGGGGACATGACAACAGTTTTAAATTACATAAAAGGTTGTTACAA